TTTGTCAGGTGCTGGTGTCCGTCCCCAAACTGTCCCTAAAGAGATTTAATTGCCTCAGAGCAGACGTCTAACTTTAAGTTCGTACATCCCGTCTCTCTCTCAGCCTCTATCAGTGGAGCACACTAATGAGTGTTGCCTAGCAACCCTTAAAACAGGGCTGGTAAAGTCAGCGTTGGCAAAAAGACTCTTGCTCAGCGAGATCTTTTTCATTTCTTGTCAGCTTGCTATTCATGTGCCATCTGCATCCAGTAACAATGCCCGTTTTCACATTAACATCAGAAAGGTTGTCCTGTTCTGCCAACTCATAATTACATTGCATTCTTAATTAGCCACCATCTTGAAGCCCTAATGCTTTGATGCAATAATTTGGATAATGGGCAGAAATCACTCTAGCTGGTAATTTATATATATTTCAGATACCCTTATGTGTTTCACCCTCCCTGCAAAAATAATCATCAGACGATGTAAAAATGTCCTGCATGATTAAAATTGAGTATTTGTTTGCACTGACGGGAATCTCCCCTGGAGATTTGTGCCTGAGAGCTGGATAAGATAGTTGGTTGCATATGTATGTAAATGAATGGTATAACGTGGACCTACTCATAGAGCTGCTATCACTAAAATTATAGTGTTTGATATCCCAATCCCATTACCAAACATTCAAATATGAAGAAAACCCTCCCATCATGGACTGATGATTTCCGCAGAGATCTGTCGAGGCAAATGAGGCAAATGAGACTCAAATTAGCATCAATGGCAACTGCTCCGTGTTCGCTTTGCACCTGCGGAAGCGAAATAATGCAGTTTGATTGCATGATTATCCAGAGTGCAGACTCTTGAGTGCTGTCATTCAGTTTGATTATGTTACATGAGAGGATTGAGCCCTGATCGTCCTCGGCAGAGGCCAGGGACAGTTCAAAGAGTATCTCATCCACTCTCTACGTTGCCTCATATTCTGTAACCCTGCAGCATAATATAGCTCAACAGCTGCCATGTTTATCTCTGAAGATCCAGAAGTGTATCACCTGCACAAAGACAGATTGTCTCTCATGTGTTATAGATCTAAGTTTAATCTTCAGAGCATTGCCTTAAAGAGCATAGCAAGGCTGGCGGAGACTTGAGATGCTCCATTTCAAATTAAAGAGTGTTTGATCGATGCTTGGCTCAAAGTGGGTCATCCTGACCAGGGAGGTGACTACTGAGCTTGGCAGTATGCCGCACATGGTCATGGTTGTCTCCTCCAATAAACAATGTGAGGCTTCAAGTTATGCAAAGTCTGCTTACCTTTCAACTCCCACATTAGGAGGGAGTTGTGTGTCTCAGGTGCTTAGACACACAATAATGGATGCGAGAATAATGCTTGTGACGTCGTCCTGTCTTTTGTTTTCTTCACTGAGCAGGAAACCCTGTGATGGAAGTTTTAGGAACCGTGTAAATGCAAAAAAGGGTAAAGGCTTTATCATCCAAGGGCAAAGCACGAGAGAGACGGGGGCTTGCCAATGCCGTGTCATCATCATGCAGGGAGACCATCTGAATGTTATTATGTTGTCTGATTCGAGTGCCAGCTTCAAGGACGTTCTGCTCTCCCCAGACGGTTATTGAAGTTCTTTGTAGCTCTAAACCAGACCCAAATAGCATTTCATTAAACATTTCACTTTATTTATTCCAGCCTTAATAGATGTGCTTCATTTAGTTAATGCTGAGTGGTCACATTTGCTCCATTCAGCTGAGTTGTAATAATGTTAATGATGTGGCTCTCTGCAGTTCCAAGGTAATCGCCATTGGCTGGCTCCATCGGAGGAAAACATCTAAGGGAATCTTCATGCTTACTGCCTCAGTCTGGCTCCTTGTGACCAGTTTAAACCCTGAAAGAAGACAGACACCATTTGAATAAGAGCCATGCCCATTGGGTTGGCCACTATGAGCCTTTCACAAACATTAGTGTCAGCATTTATGTTTTCTGGTATGAAAACTTTTATTATTAATCTAGCTGCCATGGTTTGTGGAGTAAACATATGTTAATCTAGGTTTGCTATGGAAACCTTCTTCATAGTCACAGTGACAAGTCTGTTTCATCAGCTTCTGTTGTCTTTTTTCTTTTCACTCAAACCAAAGCTGCACTGGAGACGCCTGTTTCATATATTCCTGTCATTTCTTCATTTGTATTCAATTCAATTTTGATTGTTGCCTTTGCCAATTCAGCTAAGTAAATGGGCAAAAATGCAATTTATTGTTAAATGTCATGCAATTTAGTCTGATGACAGAGACATCTCAGGCAGCACAATTAGTAGTCGCAGCATACCGGGCTGTTCCCGTCTCCAGCATCTGTAGCAGTGTGATTATCAAATGTTTTGATGTCAAGAGAGAGAAATGTTGACTGACAGGCCGAGCCAGACTGGAGTACTAGATCATACAGTAACTGACAGCAGAGACCCATCTTTTCTCCTTTGCACAGGAAAAAACAAAGCAGACAAAACATTTAATCATTCTTCCAGCTCCAACAGAGGCAGAGCAGAATTGATGTAGGGAAATTAGGTTGACTGGGGCCATTCTTATACGGTTTCACTGGTAATACTCTGAGGAGAAGGAGCTTGAACACATATCATAGTGACAGAGAGTTGTTTATCATGGAAATCCAAAGAAAGTAGAAAGTTTATTCAGGAAATCATCAGTAGCACAAATGACCTTCCTGCAGAAGGGGAGCCACTCAGTGTGTCTGTGATAGTCCAGGTTCTCTTTTTGTTTGCAGTAGAAAATAAAATACCAGTTTTTGTCTTAAATCCATAAACGCTTCATTGAGAGCTTGTCTCATTAGTCGTTACCCCTGGTGTTTCTGTTCACAAGCGCCAGGAGACTTTCTGGGTCTGCTGATTTTATATAATAACTCTCATGTTGTCTCATCCCTCAGTGCTGATTGGTTCTCTATCAGCCGAAGCTGATTTTAAAATACCTGTTTTTGTTTGAGGCTAGTTCTGAGGTTCTGGCCTGGACATGAGCGTACAGGCATCAAACCCAACCTGCCTGCTTTTGGCAGATTGTAGCTTGGAGAATAAAAAAACCCACATGCCTGACCTTGATGGTGCTTAGCTTATTTATAATTGTAAAGTTTTCGGTTGCCCATCTGTTTTTGTTCAAGGAAAGAGCGACATTTTGGATAAATCTCTCTGAATTTCTAAGTTTGCCATTCCTGATAAAACAGATGACGCCTTCATTAAGTCGTCCAGTCCAAGGATGAGTTTTTTAGAAACATGACTCAGCTAGACTCTATGAAAAAAAAAAAGAAGATAAGAGTCTCACTTCTAAAAAATTATGGCTCCTCTTTTATTTGATGAACTGCACTTTGTGTCATTTGCAAAAGGGTTTTCCTTAATGCACTTCTTGACTTTCAGTTCACAGTCTAGGAGGTGGAATGAAATATGCAGGACTGACTCATCACATGGATCTCAAGAGAAGTGGTACTAGCTTTGAATTTCTCTATTCAAAATGAATATATAAGGAACGGGGAACACGCTTCACAGCCTTAAACTGTATAGATCTCTCAGCAGACCTGGCTCAATTATTTTTTAAAACTCATAATGTTCATGACGGACAAATCAGTAGGAAGACCAACATATGTACAACAGAACTAGCTCATGTAATCACTTGTTTTTTAATGTTTCTATCCCACAACAACCACATCACCAGAAAGGACAACAAGAGCTTGTCTGCATATTCACTTCTTCAGGAGAAGCGAGACGAGGTGCAAGCTCCAGATGTCACTATCAACACAAAACCCGCCGGCAGTACGGTGTGTAAACAGTTCGAAAACGGGGGGATGCCAGACAGTGTCATATGGCAGCCTCATTACATCCCACTAAAATACAAGTGCCCCTGTGCAAAAGGTTTGGCAGAATCGAGGTGTAGTCATCGTTTGGCTGTTTGTTGACAGCCTGGGTGGAATCCTAGTGCCAAATTCTGTCAGGCAAATTCAAGTAGGCCTCAGATTTGGCTGTTGTCGAGGTTGGCTGTCTGGTGGAAAAGGAAATGACCAGCTTCAAGAAAACAATGGAAGCAACTCCATCCAGCCATCAAACTCTAAGGAGAGAGATTGAGAGAATGATGAAGGCCCGAGCTTCTCCAGGGTAATATCTCCATACCGGATATTGGCTTCGTGTCCCTGCTGCTAAACCTTGGAGGCCCTTTTGTTGCTTAAACATTGGTCCCCTCTGCTTCTTATTAAATAGATGTTGAGATCTTAACACCAATATGAGCCTGAGATTAATATTGTGAGCTTTTCATGAGACTGGTCGTCTGATGTATAAGTGAATTGCAGCATTTGTATAAACAAGAGAATATTTAACGTGTTGTCTAGAGCCGCAAAATAAATGGCCAGTGGGATGGTGTCCTGTTTATGGCATTGGCAGATATTTGAATCAGAGAAGCACTAGATCAGGGGTCTCAAACTCAATTTACCTGGGGGCCGCTGGAGGTAGAGTCTGGGTGCGGCTGGGCCGCATCAAGTACTCCACAAGAAAAGGGTTTCAGGCATTCCAAAACGTACAACTTATCCAATCTTCTCAATCTCTATGATGAACAGTTCTTCTACATATTTAAATAAAATACTTCAGATCTGAATTTGACAATGCATCCTTGTTCATATTTCACCTTAGATTTAAAAAAAAGCAAATCATTCTCTTCCACACATCAAAACCAATCAGATAAACTCAAAAGTGCATAAAGTCATAAAATAGAAATAAACACTATTTTAGCTTAACTCATTATATATAAATATCATATGATGATTGATCATCATCAGTGATATACTCTGTTATCTGTGATCGTGTTGTGTTCAGCTGTTTAAGTGTCGATGTTGTTGAAGCTCTGTGTTTTCCCACATCTTTGAACGTGTCACAGGTGGGCACGTGGCCGTTTGGACCAATGGTAGGGGAGGAATGGGAGGGCCGGGTCCCCATTGGTCGGTTGTCAGCAGGTTGGGGGCGTGAATGACTTATAGATTGTATCTCTCGCGCGCGACTCGCTGTAGCTCGCGCGTGCGATAGTGAGCGGGTTTAGAAAGCGCATTAGAGGAAACATGGGTAATTTGTCTGCGGATACTGGAGGGGGCGCCTCAGGGGGGTTTAGAAGTGGGGACACCTTAGACTGTATGCTCACTGAACACTTCCCGGAATCTCTGGACGACACCGGCGCGTTTCAATCAAGCTAATTCACTTTGGCTAACTTGAAAACAACCGCCACCGGAAGCTGTCAGGTCAAGCACGCGCAAGGACTGGACAAAAAGGTGCGTTGGAGAAAAGGGCACGTGCTAAAAAACACGTAACTATTATTGTTATTATTGAATATGGGACAAAATGGAAGACGAGCTGCGGAGGTTGTGATGGTGAAACAGGTAAAAAGACACCGATGAGGATATTTGGACATTTCGTCCTCAGGATTGTGATAATGGAGCCTATCGTGCTAATTAAAGCACGATAGGCTCCATTTATGTTAACTGCACAGCTGACAGGCTTCTTCAAATCATCTCTTTACATTTAGACCAAAAGATTTTATACAAATGATCTACGTTATGTTATTCTTTGCTTTATAATCAGCTGCATTGTCCCCCTCTCTGGTTTCTGATGGTAACAAACAAAACTCAGGAACTTCCCACGGTCTCGTGACGAACACTGCGTCGGCTGATGTCAGGAAATAGACCCACGTGTGATTTGAGTGCAGTGACCTCTTGTGTTCAGGCCTCCTACAGCAAAGTTCAGCACCGGAGCCCTTAAACCCCGTCACTCTGGGTAAAGAGTCTGTTCGTGACCCCTCTGCTTCAGATAGAGACACATCTCTTCACCCGGCTTATCTGGTGTCAATGACTGAGGCTGACTGGTTCTCTGGGTATCTCTGGGTATCTCTGGGTATTTAGAGGCTATTTTAGGACCATGCATCCCGATGGGCAGGCGGTGAGGAGTTTGTTGTTCCAAACCCACTTGACTGTTACACATTCATGAAACACCTTTTCAGTAAAAGCACAGCGTTGGCTCTCAAAGCCCTCCTGCTGTCCACTGGTAAATATCAGCCTCTAATTAGCGGCTGTTTGTATCTCGCACGGCATCGTGTTTTGGAAGACAGCCGGCCAGATCTGGTATATTATAGTATTATAGCAATCAATGGAGCAAACTTTTTCTCCCATTTCTTTCCATCTGTGTGTCTCTGTGTTGAGCAGAAGTGTAAAATATAGGTAATGGTGTCTCTCATCCACATTTTAGGGGGAATATTGTGTGTTGTTTTGAAAAATTTCATGAAAAGGATGTTAACGTCTCAGGTCTTGGAGTTGATGTTTTATTGATTTGCAAATGTTGCACCCCCTGCCACGGTGTGATGTTGGCCGCTCTGTTAGAAGGATAGCACCTCACCTCTCTGAAGGGCCACTGAATCTCACAGATTTCTTTTAACAGCAGTATCTCTGCAAGGGCCAATTAACAAACAACATGAAGCCAGTATACACTTTGGTCCTGTGAGAGTTGGTCTTGACCTTGATGTTTCCCTTCCTAAAACCCGTCTGATTCGTGCAGCATATTTGTCCTTTCAACCCATTAAGGTGGCCCAGCATATGTTGTTAATGCATCACTGCTTTATGGTGTGCCATCTGCTTCCTGCAAATAAGATCCACTGTTGTAGAAGTCATTAACATTTTAAAACTGGGGATTGAGGTTTGCGTGAAACCAATTTTTCATCAGAACAACCAAACTGGTTGAAACTCACACTAACTGAATTTACGCCCAATTATTTCTGCCCAATTTCACACCAGCTGTCCTCCTCAGGTACTGAAGGCCAAATGATTAATTGAGAACTCCTATGTCTGGTTTTTGTTTATGTTTTAGAACAGATTTACTAAAGGTTTAAATGCAGCACATTGATAGAAGACACAAGTTTGTGGTTATTTACAGTTTGTCCAATCTGTCTCTCTTCTGCAGTTTGGTCATTTGGAAAGACAAGTTCCTTTTTCACATTTAAATAAAAATGAACAGAGACTCTGGGTTTACTAGTTCAAATCAGAAGTTTCCCCATGCATTATTGGTATATGGTGTAAAACTACTTCTGTTATCAATGTGGAGTAAAAACAGATTTGAGCAGGTACATGATGGTCCCAGTAGATTTTGGCCACAACTAAAAGTATTAAAAGTTTGTCCATTAGAAAAGGAGTTTAATTATAGGAAATGGCAAATTATCAGTTAACATGTTAACATGCCGCACCCCTGGAGTATTAGCCTACATTTTATCCTCTAATAGTGGACACTGGAACATCTTCCCGGTACTGAACTGTATTAATTAGTGGCTTCTACACTTGTTAACTATTGTAAAAAATCTGCCTGCAGGCACAAGTAATTTTTATTCATATTAAGCTAATAGTTCGAGGCTAATGCCGGACATCTGTGTTTAAAAAAAAACACCACTGTCGCCCTGTAATTAAATCTTCAAGGAAACTTGATTGGTATGTCTTAATTGTCTGTATTTAATTTCAAGCTCTGTATCTGGAATATACTGTTGTGTGTGTTTTCTGATGTTTCCTGTGCAGCTTATGTCTTTAAGGTTTTACTGTTTACACCACGGACACTTACACCATGCTATTTCTTTTTCAGTGAGCTGCTGTTTGAAGAGAAGACTGCAAGAAAATACTGTAAGTCTCTGGACGTTAACTTTTTCCTTGAATCTTTATATGACCGGTGTATATAAGGCAGAGTATAATACAGGACATTTACAGCATGATATACAGTTGCAAATTCCAATTTCCATTTGAATGTGTAACACATAAAAGTGGCCTCATTATATTTACAGAAAGGGACATCTCCCTCCCGTCTGTTATTCTCTGACACATACGCACAAAATCAATCAAATCAGCAAAGCCGACTGGGAGTCAGGATGCCTGATGGCCCCTGGTCTCATTTGAGATGCAGACATTGTCCTGTTGCTTCCTTTAATTAGATCTGGAGGCGTGCAATCTAATATTCACCACTGAGGCTCCGACATGGCCCCTGAGCCTGTAACCCAGAAGGCTCTGTGCTAATTCAATGGAGTGAAGTCAGCTGTGACCACAAGGGCTGGAGTGGCCATTCACGCAAATGACGAGAGGCTCTGGCCTTTTTTAAACATGATGTACGAGTACACAACAATTAGGTTCATTCTTCATTTACAGAAATTAGTCGACTGGGTAGGAAAACACAGGTTTCTCAGCAAATACACACAATTCTGCAGAGGTTGAATTTCTTTACTATGGTTTTAACTGTGTTTAACTGTCTCCATCTATTAATTAAATTTGTTCTGTGGTGTGGTTTCGTATCAATCCACCTTCATTCTGCTCCGTTTACCTATAATTTGAAATAACGTGATTGTAGCTGCAAACATGGCGTACCTCGAAGAGCTATAATTTCACATGGTGATTAATGAGTACCAAAAAATACTTGCATCGTGTGTGTGTGTGTGTGTGTGTGTGTGTGTGTGTGTGNTGTGTGTGTGTGTGTGTGTGTGTATTTTAGTCTCTGAGTGTCGTTGGAGAGGTTTTCTTTGGTTCGTGGTTGCAGTCGTAGATTTACAGAGATGAGTAATGAGCGTCACTGTCTGATTTGATGTAGTGAAGAACCCACTTCACTCTTGATTACTAAGCTCAGTGTGACTGTCAGAGCTGTCAACGATGACTGATGCACTGTGCACTTCCCACCCTCACCGTCCTTCGTTTCTGTTTACCTGATCTCACTTCCAGAAATGTCTCTGTCTCCTCCCAATAGCAGCGACGTTAATCCTCCCGCATGACATTACGCTAGGTTCAAATCTCAGTTCCACATTTTGTCACAAGGAAGTCAAAGGCAAGAGATTTTATTCTTCCTCTTAACTCATGTCAGGTTCAGGAACCACACACAGAGACCAGACATGCTATGACCAATTTATCCATGTGATAAGAGACAGACCTCAGGGGCTTCCAGCATCACAGCTTAGCAGAGTCTTTATTCCTTCACCTTAATAAACAGCATTGTGGGAGTTTACTAAAAAAAAAACAAAAACAAAGGTATGTTCCCTTCAGTAATTTGCTCCTCAGTCTTTGTTGGTGTCTGCTAATTTGTGTTTTTCACTGAGTTTGACCCAGATAGCTGTGTAACCTCCTGGCGTTTTCAGCGTGCAGAGAAAAGTTTGTGTGCTAAATTGTTTTGAACTGCACTTTACCTGAAATGCTAAGCGGTGGCTGCTGCTCGAGGCACACGGGTTAGAAATATCATAGATGTTGAAAACTCCTCTGATGTGAGTTTTTAAGGTTTTGGGTGGTAACATGAGATATGGGATGTAAGATAGTTGATCCCCTGATCTTTCTTTAAGAATCTGTAGACGCTTCATCGCTTTAATACTTCTAATAACACGCCTCAATAACACTAATGTGGACAGACACGAGACAGATTCTGCTCAGACTGTCCACTGCTGCAGCTCCTCCATTCAGCCTCTGTCTGAAACACCTGGTTTTTATCTCCTGTCTCTTTGAAGCCCGTCTGCACAGAAAAACTGAAAAAGCATCATATATCTCATTTAATTACTTTTGGATGAATTATGGAAAGTGCCACAACCCACTATATTCAACTGATGCTCTGATCCACTCAGTTGTAAAGATGATGATCTAGTTTACGATAATCACTGGATGAATCTCAGTTTTTAACCTTATTTGTTAAAGGAAGCCCAAAGATGTAATCAGAGGTGACAGATAAGTCCTTTATTAAACATTTTTGAGCTTCAGCAAAACCCCATGTGTTTATTCCAAAGCAAAGTGAACCATGGAAATCAAGCAACGTAGATGAAAATGAGGGATTTAAAAGAAAGTAAAATAATATTTATTGTATAAGACTTCTTTTTTTATTCTGTATTTTAGTTTGTCAGCATAAAATGAAATCCTGCTGCATCCTTTACTGTCAAGGTTGGTATTAAACCACGTTTCCTTTTCAGCAGAGACAGACTTTTCTCCTTATTCCTTGTTGTCATATCTGAGCCTGTTACTCTATTATGGATGTTGACGTCAGACAGACACGTTTTCACGTTGCTTCATCGGATTCAAAACTTCAAAACAAATCATTTATCTAATGTTGATTTTAAATAAGCAGTTAACAATATCCAGACTGCGTGACCATTATCGCAAGTCATTTTGTAGAGAAAACATTATTAGCCTTGTAATTATGAACTCACTTGAGTTGCTATGGTTTCGCTTCTTGTGTGGGCAGTCTGTGGTTTTATTGCTTATTCTTGCTCACTGACGGCAGATGTTCATCCCAAAATCATTTTCACTGCTTTAATAACAAAAGTCAAGTTAAGGAGGCAAACTTTTTCTACACGTGTTGGAATTATATTCTTTAATTTTGGAATGATAGAAAGGAGAAATGTAAAATATGTTAAATGATAAATAGAAAATTAGAAAATCCTGCAGACGCCAAATGAATTAAGCTCTTGCAACATGGTGACACTGCTATGATGTCTGTTGGGGTAAGAAGCACTTTACCAGAGAGGTAGAGTGGGGTGACGCTAAACTGTGCTGACGGTGTTGAATGATCGCCAGGACTAGAAAAGAGCTATATAAATACAGACCATTTACCATTTGAGCGGACTGTTGGGCCTTGGTGGAGGTATCTGCTCAACTGAGTGCCATTGTAGTTCTTAGAATTTGTTTGAAATTTGTTGTTGGAGTTAGAAAACCACAGTCTTAATAAACTGTAATTTCCCTGCATATGTTACAAAGAGGCGGTCGTGGTGTTTGAAACTAAATCCCCACCCTGGTAAGACACTGCTGTGGTGAAATGCTGTGAACCTTGTTTAGATAAATGCTGTACAAATAAAGTTATTATCATGTGTATACTTTAATATATTTACACTATAGACTGGGCCATAGACCCCACATGCAGCCGTGTGCTCTGTATGTCATGGGCAGAGCAGTTCCTCAGTGACTCCTCCGTGTGCTCCAGGCTGCCACGCAGTGTTTAGTAACCATCAGCTGGGGTGGCTTGTCTCGAACAGTGCGGCTCTATGATCCTTATGTGGTGAGAGAGGAAGGAAAAAAAAAAAAAAAAGTTGCCTCTGGATAAGCTTAAGAGAAGACAGCACATGGGGGAAGATGGTCTGGCGTGTTCAAAATGGCCACAGGGAAGTCATTTCCCACAATGCTCCAATTCCCCTGGCTCCCCGGTGTCGATCTGTCCTTTGTGAGCCAAAGTGTTTGAGACATATTGTGGTCACCGTGGGCTGGAGGAGATATGACATATACAAAAGACAGACCCTGTTTGCTCCTCTCTCTGGAGAGAAGAACACGAGGCTCATTGATATTGTTGAAGACGGTTCTGGTTTCTTTGGAGAGCTGTCAAATTCACTAATTATCTTTCAGGTTATTAGCATATATGTCAAGTGAGAAAAGAACTGCACTCTGTTGAAACTGGACGAATCTCAAGTATTTATTCATTTCACTTTGATAATAGGAGACAGTCAATGTGTTGTCTGTTAGCTGCTGTGATAATCAGCAGGGTAAATCACTGTAAGAATAATTAAAACTCAAACCTATTCTAGTTGGAACTAATTAGATTATAATGTGCTTTTAACAGAACCTAAGGGGAACATGCATATTTTAAATCTAAAAAGTTTTTTTGGCTGCTGGTTGTTACTTCGACTCCACCAACGCTCCAACCTTGAAAAGTCCAACGTGTTTTTTCTTGTTCTCACAGCTGCATGTCTTCTTATGGCACCAAATGGCCTCAGTAGTCACCGAGCATGGTTTTTTTTATCCCTCCCATCATCCTCCTGGGGAAGCCATCCACTGTCAGACTTTCACTAACCCTCATCATTCCAGTCAGAACGAAGGAGTGTGTCTGTGTGTGCTTTGGGGAAACATTTTATATCCCAGAATAACCAGCAGGAGAACAGTCAGAGACTGTCCTCCTCCAACGTGCACAGACGTGTGGAAGTTTATTTTTCACAGGCAGACCTCTAACCTCTGAATTAATAATTTTTCTGTTCATGTCTAGACAGAAGCGGAAAAGCAGCTGTGTGGAAGGACATATAGATGAAGCTCTTTTATGTGTGTTGAATTGAATAAGATTTCTCTCACCTTGAATTTGTGTTTTCATCCCTGCTGTATGTCTCATAGGAACCAAACTATAAGACTACAAACTCAGAGTTTGACTTTATTATTGTCATCATATTTCGACCTTACTATAGAGATACGTCCTTCAAGACATAATTGCTCTTCCGGGACAAAATAAAACTACACTGAAGACACAAATGGGCCTTCCTACCTCCAAGTGGCTGTATTTTAGAGGTGATATTTTGTGACCATTTGAGCAGGAACACGGTGATATGACAAAATTGCAATCAGGGAAACCCTCCTGCTGTGGCTCACCGTAAAGTGAAGTGACTGCAGTGCATTTTCGATGTGTGCAAAGCCACTGAACTTTCATCTTAACATTCTTACTTGATGATTTGAGTGTCAGAGCTGGTGAGGAGAAAAAAAAAAATAGAAACATCCACAGTCCCAGCACATTCTGCTGATTGCTGGCAGAAAGAAGGCGAATCATGTTGTGCAGCAAAGGTGGCAGAAAAGATGGCAGGCATCATATTAACAGGATCAAGGCGGCTGCATTTTAATCTGAGCCTCCACTATGTGAA